TTTATCGATCCCCTAACCTAATCAATAGTAACATGATCACTGTTGTTACACAACTCAAACACAATCTCTAGAACAAGATCTGATTGTATTTTAATCAGGAGATTATAGTGATTTGCAAAATAAACCTTTGCATGTAATAAGCATATGAAATCCTTATCAACGTAATTCTCAATAAAGTACTAATACTAATAAATATAAATAGCTTAAAAAATAACAAAAACTTAATAATTTAATAAATAATAAAAATTAATCAGAATACTTTTGTCCATTGAATTATTTTCCTGATTATAAATAATTATTGAGATAACTAATAAGAGAATGATTTGACCAAATATAATTTTTTCTTTACTTATATGTGTGCATTATTTTTTACATTTATATTTGTTTTGTTCATGAAATTTAAGGATTAAACTTAAACTCACATAATAAATTTAAGATATATAATGTAAAAAGAAATTTGAACCACTTCAAAATCATCGTTTTACCTTTATAATATATACACGATGTTAACAGTTTACCATTAAACTAAAAAAAGATTATTATTAGGCAATTACAGTAATAATTAAATCATCGTTTTTCTTAATGTAATTGTCAATTCGATCGTAACTATTGTCAAAACCAACATTTTTCTCTCCCTTTGTTTTTCTTTTTCCATCTAGTTCACATGTGACATCCAGACATAGTTTGGCTACGAATTTCTTAGTTTGTAGATTTTAAATATCATATTCATTAAAAAATTATGGTTTGGAGGGAAACGTAGCGTAATGGTTAACTTATGAAAGAATTTAGAGGCAAAGAAAGACTTGCATAAGTCTTCAGACAGTGACTGAAATTACATCATTCTTCAGGCTTAACTATTCACTTGTTGATTGACTTTTTTAATTAGAGGGTTATAAGTGAAAGGCAAATAAATTTCATCCTTTGCCCAAAGATACAGATCGATGCTCTAATAACATCCCTACGTGGTATATTGTGCAGGAAAAAACTTATTTAGACTCTGTTTATATCCCCATCTATAAATTAAACTCATAAAATTTAGTATTTTTATTGAAATAAGAGTATTTCTGATCATATATTTGGAAAAAAAAATGTTGAAATAATTTTTAAAAAATCTGTAATTTCATCTGATTGATCTATAAATAAGATCATGCACGGATGTAGACAAGTTTTTCCATATGGTGCATGCATGCAAGAGTTGAAAAGTTCTTGCCTTTATTTTGGTTTTAATAATGAGGTGTTCATAAATATGAAAAATATCAGTCTAGTTTATTATTCTAAATTCTTTTTTTTTTTTAAACCTTGAGTATTCTTTAAAAAGAAAAATGAAAAACCTTGAGAAAAAGATCGATAGTGCAGGAACAGAAACCAACGTAATTTCTAAAAGATAAAATTTAAATTTCTTAATTATTCTTCATTAATCATGAGATTTCAACTCCACCAATCTATATAAACCAATCTATATAATCCACTTTGTTAAAAAATAAGAGAGTAAATATCCTAATTATTAAAAGAAGTTAAAAAAAATTATGAAACAAAGTATAGTGTAACTTATAATAACAATAAAAATAGAATAGAATTACAGTGGCTCTTGCACTAAGTGGTAGAAATTAAAGAGCGAATGTTTAAAATAATTAGAAAAAAAAGAAAAAGGAGACAGAACATTATCATGATTCAAACAAATAGGGAATCATGTGGTCTATAAATATGGAGTGATATATACTGAAATTGATCATAATTAAATTTGGCAAACACAAAACATGGGTTTTGGTTGCTTACTGCGGCATTTTCAATTTCTCTGCCTCCTTCTATTTCACTTCCATTCTCAATCTCTTTCTTCAAATATTACAAATTCCCCTTTCTCAAATGTAGTTTCAAATGTAGTTTGCCAGCTTGATCAAAGCAATGCCTTGCTCCAATTCAAAAACTCCTTCTCCATTAGGAGTTATGATCCTTCTATTAATTCTTATTCCAAGTCAGATTCATGGAAAGAGGGCACGGATTGTTGCTTCTTTTGGGATGGTGTCAGCTGTGACTTTAATACTAGCTATGTGATTGGGCTTAACCTTTCTAGCAGTATGCTATATGGTAACTTCCATTCTAATAATTCTCTTTTCGCTCTTCATCATCTTCAAAAACTAGATCTCTCTTCCAATAATTTCAGAGGCTCCATAATTCCATCTCATTGGCCATTTGTGAGCTTGGACACCACCTAATATTGAGCTTGACACACCTTAATCTACATTATGCAAGCTTTGCTAGCCAAATTCCATTAGAAATCGGTCATCTATCCAATTTGGTTTCTCTTGATCTTTCCTTTAACCCTGGTTTGACATTAGAAACAACTGCTAGTTTTGACAAACTTATTCAAAACTTAACCAAGTTGCAAGAATTGGACCTGAGCGCTGCAGACCTGTTTTTCGTTTCTCCTAATTCTTTTATCAATTTATCTACTTCTTTGTCATCCCTCAGACTTTCATTTTCTGGATTGAGAGGGAAATTTCCAAGCAGTATAATTCAGCTTCCACATCTCGAAGTCTTAAACTTAGTGTACAATGAAGGCCTCGATGGCTCTTTTCCAACGTCAAATTGGAGTCTTTCACTCTACCATTTGTCTCTTTCTCACACTGAAATTCCAGTATATTTAGAAAATGAATTTTTCAAAAATCTAAATTTGTTGGAATCACTGCAACTCCGAAATTGCAATTTCATAGGGTCTAATCTTGTTGCATTGTTCTGGTAATTTATCAAAACTCCACTGAGTTGGACCCTATCGTCAAATAAGTTTCGTTGGTCAAATTCCATTAGGAAATCGTCAAACTGTCGAAATTTGATTTCTCTTGATTCTTTTCGGGAAATCTTTCCGGGAACAGTCTTTTAATACAAATAACTACTAGCTTTAACAAGCTTGTTCGAAACTTTACCAAGTTGCAAGAGTTGGACTTGGGGAGTACAAACCTCTCTTTGGTTTCACCTAATTCATTTATCAATTTATCTTCTTCTTTGTCATCTCTCACACTTTCATATTCTGGATTAAGAGGAAAATTTCCAAATAACATAATTCAGCTTCCAAACCTTGAAGGCCTTGTTTTGTCAGGGAATGAAGATCTCACTAGCTCCACTTGTATATCAAATTGGAGTATCTCACTCAACTACTTGTCACTTTCTTCAACTAAAATTCCGATTTATTTAGAAAATGAATTCTTCAAGAATCTGAAGTTGTTGCAAGTACTGCAACTCAATAGTTGCAATTTTATAGGCTCTAATCTCGAATTGTTTGGTAATCTAACCAAACTCAATGTATTGGAACTTAGTGGTAATAATTTCACTGGTCAAATTCCATCCTCAATTGGAAAACTTGAGAAACTCTATTTCTTGGACCTTTCATACAATAATTTTAGTGGCCCAATTCCTCCCTCATTTGCAAACCTTAGCCAGCTTTACAAATTATATATGGGAAGCAACAATATCAATGGTTCAATTCCATCTTTCATTGGAAAGTGTAACCAACTACAACAGTTGGACCTTTCATACAATAATTTTAGTGGTCCAATTCCTTCAGATATTTGCAGGCTCTCTAGCCTATGGTACTTGAGTTTGTCTAATAACTTGCTCACTGGTCAAGTATGTCAATACAAATATAATAATACCTTAAACTATGTTGATCTGAGCCATAACAAGTTGTCTGGCACAGTTCCAAGCTCAATTTTCAATGAGGTGGACTTGGCGGTTCTCATTCTTTCATCAAATGAGAAATTGACGGGAGAAATTCCTTCTGCAGTTTGTGAATCAAAATCACTCCAAATCCTTGACCTGTCGAGTAACAATTTCAGTAGTCCCATCACAATGTTAATGTTTGGGAAACTTCAGCAGTAGCCTTTTAGTATTACATCTGGGTATGAACAACTTTAGTGGAGTTCTCCCTCAAGTATTTTCAGAAGGCAGTAACGTGAGATATTTGAATTTCAATGGCAACCAACTGCAAGGGAAAATCCCAACGTCCATTTCCAATTGTAAAGATTTGGAAATTTTAGATATGGGCAACAATGAAATAGAGGACATATTCCCTTCTTTTCTACAAACTCTTCCAAAGTTGCAGATTCTACAGCTACGATCCAATAGACTCCATGGTTTGGTGAAAAGCCACTCCATTGCCAACTATCCGCTTCCCAAGCTACGGATTTTTGACCTCTCCTTTTACCCGGCCAACAACAATTTCAGCGGACCTTTTGCCTGCATATTATTCAATAAATGTTCGATGCGATGATCAATGTTGATTCGAATAGTGACATACATGGGATTACAAAACTACACCTTCTTATGATATCTGTGAGCTTGATTGAAAGGATTGGAAAATTGAGGTGGTGAAAATCCAAACTCTTTTAACAAACCATTAATTTGTCAGGTTAATAACTTCACAGGGAAAATTCGCCAAGTCAGTTGGAAAGCTTAAAAGCACTTAAGCGTCAACATGTTCACTAATCATCTCACAGCAATATTGAACCATCAATAAGGAAATTTGACCAATCTGGAAACTTTGACCTCTCTTCAAATTTAATCTTACTGGAGGATTCCGATCCAATTTGGAACTTTGACACCCTCGAAGTAGTATTCGAGTTTCGCATAATCAACGGTGAAGGACCCATACCTATCAGCCCTCAGTTCAACAATTTGATATAGCTCTTTGAGAAGGAACACCAAGACTGTTGATGGATTTCCCACTTGCAAAAAGGCTCTGTAATTGGGTGTGAAAGGCAACAAGTCACGACAACGCATCAGGCGAAGAAGATTCAAAAACTTGATGAAAAGGATTTTTGGATGGAAATCTGTTTTCACGGATATGCATTTGAGCAGTGTTTTGGTCTCGCAATGGGATACCTTGTGTTCAGAACAAGAAAAACCTAACTTGGTTGGTGAAGATGATCGAGGTGGAAGGACATCCAAGGCTGCTGAAAAAAGTTATCAACAACAACCTGCATATCTTAGTTAGAGAATCTTATCAGAGAAGAAGAAGAAGAAGAAATTAGTGAATGGAATTGCTTTCTGAAGGTAAGTTTTATTATCTGTCTTCATATCAAATTAACAAGATTTTTATTTCACGATGAACTTTGGACTTTGTTAGGTAAATCAAATGATGAACAAGCAGATGGTGCATTTGCATGCCAAGTGGAAAGAAGAGATCTCTTTTGTTGCTCCATAATCAAATGTGCTACTTGGAACATCTACAACAAAGCTCTTTTAAATTTTTTTTAAGCTATAATTTCCTCTCTTTTTTTTGTTGTTTTTCTCCTTTTTTTCTGTGTGTCTATATATGTAAAATAATTTTAAAGTCAGGCTTGATTTATAACTTGAAATAAAATTCAAATCATGTGAAAAAGAAAATCCATAATAAAGAAATAGTTATTTCTTGCCAGAGGAGACTAAAGCCACGTTGCTCTAAGGTTCCATGATTATGAAAGTTGTTGGGTTTGCTCGTCTCTTTCCAAAATTGCAGAAGGGACAGAGTTGGGTGTCGTAATTTAGTTCCCGAGAACCAAACAAATTTGCCAGCATAAACTTAGTATCTCTGTGTGATAAGAATCACTATAAATTTAATTAAATTATCCAATTTAATATTATAAAATTCAATCTTATTTAATTAGAAATGTGTCCTTTTAAATATCATTCTATTATCATTCTGTTAGGATTTCGTTATATCATAACAATATATATATATATATATACTATTATTATAGTTTTTAATTACTTTTGGACTATCAAGAAGTTTTTTGCTTTTGACTTATTAAGAATTATTACATAAACTTTTTGTGTAAATTTTTTGGGAAATTAATTGAGTTTGCCAATCAGTCTTCTTCTTGTGGTAAAGACTTCTTTACATATTTTTAATTTAATAATTGATTAAAATATTATTAAGAATATTTAGCTTTATTCTAATTAGAAATTTTAATTTATTGACTGATTAAAATTATATAATAATTTTTTTAATTGGATTACTTATATTAGTTTCCTTAATTAGATTATTTTAATTAATTAACAAATCTTGTTTGTTTCATTGATTTCTACAAACGGGTTAGAAACCGGATACTTTTCCGTTTGTAAAGTTATAACCTGAATTGATTTTTATTAATTAACAGAATTTCATTCTTCTTTCGTTGCTAAGAGTTGGGAAATGGTTACACAAATAGTTTAGCAATGGAATTTTCATAAGTTGCTAAAGTTATAATCCTAAATTGATAATCTATTTTGTATCTTTTTCTTATTTCTTCCTCCTTTTATTTTATATTTTATTAAGACTGTAAGATTAATATTTGTTAAGATAATATCTTTTATTTTTTATTTTTTAATTTCAAATATTTCAATAGAAGTAAAGTAATTATAGAAATTTCAATATTCAAATTATAATATAATAGTAAATCATAATTTTTTATATGTATAGAAATTTTAATTTTTATTTGTGTTTTATTGATTGATTAGCTTAGTCTCATCCTAATTAGAAAACTTTTAATTTCATTGATGGATTAAAATTATATAATAATTTTTAATTAGATTGGATAATTGTAATGACCCATTTTCGCGAGCTAGACAAGCACTCGGACCTAGATGGGCTTAAGGACCCGAAACCTGTAGTAAACCTATATCAATTAAACCCATATTCTAGTCTTAAATGTAGCTTCAAGCCCATCAACTTTAATCCACAAAAAGTACAGTTCATATATTAATATAATAATAAATAGTATTCCTTTACAATCCATCTGAAATACAATTGCGGAACTCCATCATCTACAGTCCTTTACATTTACATGGTTAACATAATTATTAACAATCTTCTATATTTAATTTCGACTCGACTGGGTCCATAGGATTTTTCTTTCTTCCTATTACCTAAAAAAAAATAGGAGGCAAGAGTGAACGCCAAATTCAATGAGTAGAGTTAGATAACTCTCTCACCCCACACAATCATACAAATGTTAAATTTAATCAAGTTAATTACTCAACTAGCTATATGATCATGCAGTTTACGCACGCATATGGACATTAACAACAGCAATACAAATATTATTCATCATTCAACATTAATCAATCACGTGTAATTAGTCAAGTGCGTCAGTCAGTGGCGTCACCGAAATCCCCGATGAGCCGTCCTCCCACAAGGCCCATTCACTCATAATGTGTGCACCAGGGAGCCGATCCCCATACATGGCCGACTAGTCTAATCCTCACTTGACTAGCCCTCTCATTGTTTTTTCATTCTCTCTTTTTTTTTCCATACCAACAGAAGGTCAACCTGTGGTTTTCCATATCATATAATCGGGGATCATCCTTATCATATCATCAAGTGCATACGGGGCGCCGATCTCCTATACTTGGTCGACAGTCAAATTCTATAATTTCATCATATCCAGGATCCATGCTTTATAGACCATCCTCACAAATCCATGGTGACCTACTTCATCCTAATTCCACACAAACAAGGCACAGCAATATCACAACATAGGTAATCAAGCAATTTTTAATCGCAACAATAGTGCAACACAATATAGCAATTCAACAAGATAATGCATGATAACATTTAGCCGTGAATGCATGAATGCAAAGATGCAGGCAAATGATGCGAGTTATCCAACACTACTCACAGTTCTTTACTGTCCCTTAAAGGACTATCTCTACTACTGCATGCTTCCGGCTTTTTGTCTTCACCTTTCGAGACTTTATATACATCTAAAATGATAAAAAAATTCTAAATAAGAGTTCTAATCTGAAAAACAAAAGTATCCCACATTTATTTATTAGATTTGACTACTCGTCGCTTTATTTACTTATCAAACTAAACTTTATATTTATATATATAACGTTTCCTTATTTATTTACTTATTCAAACTTATAACCTTTAAACAAAATTTTTAACGAATATTTTATAATAACAATAATAATAATAATAACAATATTAAAACAATAATAATATTACTAGTAATAATAATAATACTAATAACAATGACAATAATACTTCGAGTTTTAGTTGTTACTATCCATTAAGGATATAACTAATTTAATTCTATATTAAGTGTCTCGCCGAAAATTCGGTAGCATTCCCTCCATAAATTTGACTATCCACCAATCAACTTATTCAATTATTTTTCAAGTCCACACAACCCGTCCATCGGGCAATCAATCAACAAATTTCTCCGATCCTCCTTAAACTCAACATTAATAATACTTATAAATTTTTCCTAAATTCCATAAATTTTATTTATTATCATAATTTCCTAATAAATTAATTTGGTACTAGAATTATCTTTAATTAACCATATATTTTAATTAATCACTAAATCAACACTAAGATTAATTTAATTTAATTACTCGAAATCACTAAAATTAGATTAATTACCAAAATTACTAAAATTAAATTAATTAACCAAAATTAACAAAAATTAATTTATACCCCAAACAAAATATTGTCGGAAGTTCGTTAGACCGGAAATGGAGGCCATGCGTGCCGGAGAGACAACCGAATGTGGCTGGAGCACTAGCAACGGCAGAAAAGGGACCAGATTGACTGGTCATCAACCAACCTCGCCGGATCGAAGAGAAAGAGGGAGGAGACCGTCGTTGGGTCTACCGAAGCAGGAGCCGCTGCCATGCTCACCGGAGTCGCGAGCAGCAGGAGGCGCGATGTCGGGCTGTGGCTGGAGTCGAGTGACGATCGAGGCTATGACTGCAGGCGGGTCGCGATTGAACTGAGAGGGAAGGAAGCGACCGGCGGCGCGATGGAGGCTCGTCGACTGACTCTGGTGGAGGCGCGATCTGCTGCCGCTGCAAGTTTTCGCCAGAAATGGAGTCGCAGGCGCAGGGAAGAAGAAAGAAGAAGGAAAGAAAAAGAAAGAAAGAAAGAAGAAGGAGAAGAAGAAGGTGGAGATGGTGGTGCTGCGTGGGTTGAGGCGCAGGTTTGGGGAGGAGAGGAGTGAGGCCAACGCTGGAAAAAGGGGAGAGAGGAGCTTCTGGAAGTGATTCGAATTTATTCGGTTGGATTGGGGCTCAGTTCGATTTATTTGGATTATTTTAGTTAGATTCCGTAACATTTTCTCTATTTACTCAATAATAATAAAAACACTAGTAGTAATAATATTTGATTTTATAATAATTAATTTATATTGTAGCCATACATATTTACATTTATAATCGATTGGTAGCTGGAGTTCCATTTTATTTCATCGAAAATTTTAAGTGTTGCCAAATCGAAAATTTCGAATAATCAATTTTGGGCTTGAACCCAATTCGAAAAGTTGGGTTCGAATTGAGACTATATTACATTTGCAGCCCACACGGCTAAAATTTTCGATTTTTGATTTAATAAAAATTCGAAAGCTTCGAAAATAAAAATTCGGAGTATTTCAATAATATTATTCAATTAAGCATATAAAACTAGGAAATATAAAAATAGAAAACCGAAAATTTTTTTTATAACCTGACCTTAAAATAAAATTCAATTATCAAATAAAGTTGAAGATTCAGTTAAGAAGCACAAAGTATATGTCAAAATATTTTAACTCAATTGATAGAAAATTAGAAAATTATATAAATTTATTTTATATTAATAAATTACTAAAAAATTTAAAATAGTTCAAATTAAACTATTAATAAAATAATTAATTCAAAAAAAATAAAAAAATTCAATTAAAAGAATTAAAAATCAGTACTTATTATTTAAATTTATTATTGTACTTCCAATAGTTGAAGATAAGACGTATGAGTAATATCTTAATTATGAATAATTTATGAATGATAATATAACTCGGTTAGGAATCTTATTAAAATACCAATTTACTATAGACTACCAATATAAATATTTAATACTTATAGAAAAAATCACCATATTATTTTTCTTTGGACGGAGTTTATTATTATATGTCAAATAACTTTTCTTCGATCATTTTAATATTTTTTACTTGAGTTATGATTATTTTACTTGTCCATATCATTTCAATCATAAATTTTATTTTTTTCATTTCAATTTTTGATTTTTTTTTCAATATTCATTTCATTTTGTCTAC